ACCGTCACATTATAACGCCCCCACGCCTGAAAGGGTGAGCATGTTTGGTGTGACGGGGATTCGAACCCGTAACCCACAGATTGCGAGTCGAGCGCCCTAACCACCTGGCCATGCGGGGTCATTAAATCTTATTTTAGTGTGAACACTCTCTCCTTTAATTATAAAAATAACAAGTAAACCACAAGAAATGTGACCTATTTGTATTATTTAATATCAGTGCTCTAAGAAAATGTTAAGATATTCACTTATGTTCGTACGACATCTAATATACGACATTAAAAACATGGATCAGTAACCGTATGCGAATAGTTTCCACTTCAAAATCTTATTAAAATAGGTATCTTGTATTATTGTCTCCTCACGAATATTATGTGTCAAACAACAATATTTGTGTTCATTATTTTTATATGACATTTAATATGCATGAATGTCAAACACCACATAATGAAAATGTTGTTAAGTATCACAAAATCCAGTCAATTTAAATACGATTACTACTGCAAAACTTACACGAGCCACCGTTTACGTCATTCATATACTACTTTTATAGAATATAGAATATCAAATATGAAGTACTTTAGCATAAACACTGATAACCCCACAACAATTATAATAGCTGTGTAGCACATGATATAGTTTTTTGAACGTAATGTTAATGATATTATTAATTTGAGTGAACTGAGCCTATTTATGAAAGATCGCCAACAATTGTTTGTTGTATCCCAGCTGCCCTGATGAACTCTTGTGTTCAGCGAAACGCGTCGTCGGCAATGTATATGGTGCACATAGTGTGATTGAAATTACACTATTATACTATTATATACTATTATTATTGAAATACTATTATACACTCTTTTTCACGGAAAAAGAATGTAGCTTTTTAAAATACAATATGTCTAATATTTTTATCTTATGGTAAACATAACTGATTACAATCACACTTCCCCAGCAAAAGGCGTTTATCTCTATCCATGCCCTGTGAGGCATAATCCTAAAGCATCTAAGTATTATATGTGATACACAGCTACATTTATTTGATATGCAGCTGATGCTCATGAACGTGGCAATAGGAACTGGTTGTTTTGGTTCAACGTATAAGAGCTTCATACGAGCATCACATGTGACTCTCAAAGCGCATGTGAATGATGATAGGTTAAGTTACTTTCATTCATAAGAAAATGTAAACCTAGGATAAATACAACAGATTTTTTTATTAATTTTTTCATATTCTCATTACCAATTACACTAATTTGCCAACAAATGAATAATGCTTATAAAAGAATAGCTCCCAGTAGCACAGCAGTATTTCTGCGGACTTACAACGCAAGAAACCGGGTTTTGATACCCGTGGTGGGCAGACCACAGATAGCCCTTTGTGTAGCTTTGTGCTCAATTACAAACAAACAAACAGTATAAAAGAATAATCTTTATGGGATATCAACAATACAAGATAACAAAAAATAGGGAAAGGTCTAAATTATAACAATTATTATTATAAACGAATGGCTCATCTAAATGGTGTTGCGACCAATAATATTTTTATTATATTACAGCCGAACTAATGAGCTCTGGTAGTGAGCGAAACGCGGAGGTATTGGAGTTGAAATAATATTATACACCCTTCTCACGGAAAAGCCCTAAGGAGCCAAATAAATAATGCAATAACTAAAAATACAATAAGCCAAATATTATTGTCTTATGAAAAATATAACTGATTATAATTACACTACGCCAGAAAATCCATTCCCACAATCACACTTTAATATCTTGTAAAAAAAATCACTATAGAAAATGAAATAATCACTCTAATCTTAAAAGTAAGTTTAACCACTTTGAGATCTATTACTGTCACTGCCAATCCGTACAGAAATAGGGATGAATCTTGCATTTGGTAAATCTATATCCTGTTAGTGATGGGAGAGTATTTGTCAGTAGATAGGAGGCGTATGATAAATGGGTTTGAGTTTCATTTCACCTTCAAACTTTCATCATAAATTTTACCAGGCAGCATTTATAATACCATGAACAGGGCAACATTGATAATGGTTGCTTTATGGGTATATTTTATGAGAACCATCTTGAACAGAGTATTCTCCAACTGAAAGCTTTATCCAAGTCATTTGCATTTATAAGTACATATACTCATATTTGCCAAACATGAACAAGAAGAAAATTTGTACTCTTGCGTGAACTTTACATGACAAAAGCTCAAGAATAACTTGTGGTCCAATCAATCGTTGGGTCTGAATTATCATCATTTAACGCTATGCACAATTCACTTCCAAATAGAGGTGGTACAATAGAAGAGTTTAGACTTTCCAAACAATGTCGCTGTATTACTGCTTGGATAAGTTCAGGAAAATAGTGTTTATTTAAACAATCTACATAGAGATAAGAGTCCACATCATCATTTGTGGCACAAAAAAGGCGCCATTCGAGCGAGTTTCTTGGTATCAGTTATACCAGCCTTAGGACTATAAACGAGGCGGTTGAATTGTTTAAATTCACGCACCATAATAGCTGTTGTTGCACAAGCTTTGGAATGTTGTCTGATAAGCTTTGTCTGCAGACATCAATTTCCATGCTTTAAGCTTTTCTTCACTAGCAGATGCACTTACAGTGGTTCAGTTAGTTGTGCTTATTTCTATTTGTCTATTCATGCTATTCTTGAAAGTCAAGACTTAACAATATTTGCTTTGACAAAGAAGCTTTTAAAAACTATAATCATACTGGTGATCTGAAAACTTAGTGAATTACGTTAACTAAGCTACGAGCATTCACTCGACTTTGATGCGTCAGACAGTACCTTTTCTCTCCTAGATAAGATCTTTAAATTCTACTAAAGTCAATCTGATATAAAAATGTAAGACTTTTAGCTAAACCAACATAATGCTTTGTTGTCAGACTAAAAACCACTGTAGTCAAAGATACATAGCAGACGTTCAACCACATTGAGTTTTAGTATGACTCGTGGTGACTCATTGTTGTGAGTGTGCCA